AAGTTGTTGTAGCGGCTCCAAAGTCGGGATATCGTTGTTTTGTGAACATTTAGGTGCCGTGCAACAGTTCCAAAACTTTCTCCGGCTTGAACACGACCAATGGCGATATTTCGGTCGGCAGCACTCAATCGTGGCATTTTTAACACAGCTTTTCGGCGACAAATGAATGAATATAATACGGAAGCACATGGGCTTTTATACACCCTACATTAACTGCCATTTTCATGATTTGCATGTGTTTTTTTTGTGCGAAGTCACCATGAGGGTCATTTCATGCGTTGTGACGGAATAAGCAATAAAATACACTTATGCGTACAAATGCAGTTGTTTGGATGGTAATCTTCATTAATTACGTGTATCATTTCAATACATTCGAATAAAATTTAGTTTGGAAGCAATAACTTCATTCAAACGAATTTTTCATATCTGAGGACAGGGGTTGCGTTTCTTTTTTGACAGAGTTTATGTTGCATCCTGGTATGTTGGATATCTGATTATGTTCATGTATTTGTATATGTCATTTATGTAATGACCGCTGTTTATGATGGAAGACTTTGGTTTCTTAAAAAAATAATAATAATAATAATAATAATAATAATAATAATAAAAATAAAATAAGTCTAGATCTTCACACAGTACAACAACTACCCTGAACAGCGTGTGCAACAAACCATGCAGAACTTCAACAACAAAACCGAGAAATCCACCCGTCAACGATCTGCAATCCGCCTCCCCTACTACGGAATTGTCAGACACGAAGTCCAGAGACTTTTAAAAAAAACAGGCCAATATAGACGTGTTTTTAAGAGAAACAGCCTCCTTAACACCATCAAAGCGACTAGCAAACCACCAACCAGCCCGAAGCATCAACCACTGGGAACAGTTGTGGACAGGCGTATGTAGGCGAAACATATTAAGACCCCTCAAAACCCGAATCAAAGAACATCAGACCTCAGTATGAAAACTTAACTCCAAGTCAGTTTTATCGGATCACATCCAAGACAGTCCCAACCACAGTATCCAGTGGGACAGAGCCAAAACCCTAACAACCAACCTCAAAGACTTTAAACTCGGGAAACTCCAAGAAGCTATCTACATCAAAATACTCCAGCCATTAATCAACCGTGACCAAGGTTATTACCTCCTGCATACTACCAACTCATCAAAGATCCTCATCGTCGATAATCCCCCCTTAATGTATACTACAGGCTTCACTATCCCCTTGTATATACTACAGGCTTCACTTGTTAACGCTTTAATCAAAGGCCACGTGTTGTTATTGTGACCGGCTTCCTAATCCCCACTGTAAGGTACAAACATTTCCTCTAACTTGTATATATGCTCCTCTATCCTCATTCTGTTCATCACTTGCTTGATAACGGCGTTAGAACCTCCACCGAAACGTTCCTCTCACAGCAATAAAGAAGTTTTTTCATCCATATATTGCTAGTTCCTTGTCATCGGTTCCCAATTGCGCAGATCAATGCTCATGCTGTCGATCACTGGAGTGTCTGGTCCAGACTCCATTATTTACAGACCGCCGCCATATAGCTGGAATATTGCTGAGTGCGGCGTAAAATTAAACTCACTCACTCACTCATGTACGTGAATAAAACATCGCATCACTGTAGTATATAGCAAAACTCTGCATAAATCCATACTCACTCACTCATTTTCTACAGGTTGGGGACATCTTTGGCCTCTACATATCAAACCGTAAAATATAACGGTATTTTGTCTGAGTGTTTATTTTACAGACATGAATCATGAATCTCGTTTACTCGCTAAATATTCACGAAACAATGTGTGGATTTACTCTAGATGCAACACGCTGGCTAGTATTAAAAGCACCCGAACAACAGTCTTCATTCTGAATACAACACCGCTCCTTAAGCTGTATAACTCTTGATGCTGAGTAGATCGATGTTCGTGAAGTAAATCACTGGAACCACCTGTCAAAATTCGATATCGCTAGGCGAGGCGTTAAACAACAAATCGACTGACCAAATCTGTTCAAAGATGCTGTTACCACACACACACACACACACCGTTACGCACAAACATCTTACTACTGCACAAAGCTGAACTGTGTCTGTATGTGTAGATTTTATGTGATCATCTGCCAGTTTGTAAAGTTTGTTTGTTGTTTTAAACACCGCACTCAGCAATACTCAAGCAATATGGTGGCTAATGCCATGAATATATTCCCAAACAAAACAAGTGTTAAGTTAGTGATGAGTTTTATCAGTGTAGCTTAAAACGAAACCAGATAAATAAATGCAATCATTTACAAATTTCATTTTCAACAGATACATTATATTACCTTATTCGACCCATGAAGGTCCGTGTTAGAACTGATCTTCAGTAACCCATGCTTGTCGTAAAAGGCGACTAACGGGATCGGATGGTCATGCTCGCTGACTTGGTTGACACATGTCATCGGTTCCCAATTGCGTAGATCGATGTTCATGCTGTTGATCACTGGATTGTCTGGTCCAGACTCCATTATTTACAGACCATCGCCAGAGAATATTGCTGAGTGCGGCGTAAACTAAACTCACTCACTCACTAATTACCTTTCTCAGATATTCAGAGATCTATATTTCACGGCGTGTAAACTGTCTATACAATAACTTCATCAAATTGCTTGAACAGTATATTATCTTTATCAAATCGGATTGGTAGGTGCGATGTCTGTTTCATGACCCCTTCGACATAAGAATATTTATACAGCGTGTCACAACACAGGGGGTGATAAAGGGTCCAACATCAAATATATATACACACGTATATGTCTATACATGTAAACGTAGAAAAATGTCAAATAATTCATGTAAATGTATAAACATGCCAAATGAATTTTGTAAATGTATAAACCTGTCCAATACTATATGTCAATTAAAACATGTCTAATAAACTTTAAAGGTTTTTAAAGGGTTTTATTGGAGTCAAATATTAAAAACAGACAGACATATTCAAAAAACAGATTCTATAAACAGTTTCAATGCTTGTTTCAGACACTAGAGTTATATTTCTAAATAACTTTTATGATCATAACCTTTTATATAGAAGAAACAGTTTGATCTGATATATACATACTTTTACAATAAAACCGATAATGATAATGATCTTCGTAATAACGACACCAGCGGTAGTTCACTGACAATAAAGTGCTGAAACTTATAGGTGTATTTAGGTCATTTCAGCTGAGTCTTAGAATACAGTGTATGGTTTGCCTCTTTTGTGAATAAAAGATGGACATTGCTTATAATCTGTGTTGTTTTAGTTCGTTTTTAATTGTGTTTGACGATTCAGTACACCTTAATGTGTCACCCAACATATTCCAATCAGGCACTGATGAAACGACACCTTAATGTGTCACCCAACATATTTCAATCACGCACTGATGAAACGAAACAGAAATTTGAAGTGTTTCTAGTGCTACAATACATTGTGCTCGTGTGAATTGATACGTTCTGTAGATATACTCTTGCGTTGTGTGTGAGTGTGTGGGTCCGCGCGCGCGCGTGTGTGTGTGAGAGAGAGAGAGAGCGTAGTATATGTACATATTATTGTATAAAAGTATAAGTCGGCATGAACAATTGGATTTTTTATGATTTTGTATATGTATAATATAGGAATGTATAAAAATCGTATTGTGTTATATATGACTACAAAATTGGAATGTGGTCTTTTATGACTCAAAGGTGTGGAATTTTTAAATCAACACGCATGATGAACTGACCAGATACTGCAGGCAAAATACCCAAATAATATACTTATAGATATTCAACAAAATATATCAATATATTGATGGTTTCGATAAAACAACAAAATCCAACGAACGTGAAACTACACACCTCTATCAAAACAACAGTAGGCTTCATGTTTAAGGTAGACGATTGTCTTACCTCGTTGAATGTTTGTTTGTAAAACAATTACTCCGTGCATATTACAGAATAGTCGGCGCTTCAGAAGTAGCGGTCAGTTTTCACAGGCTTCAGCGTGGCCTTCTTGACCAGCCGGTCATTTCAGTCAAGCTACCGGTCCCACGCGCTACCTTGATTGGCCACTTTAGATAAACAATGGCTGCTTTTTAGGTAAATAAACATAACGTACATGTCTGATTTCTGTGTAAACATTTCCCAGCCCTGTCCAGCAGTATGGCTGCTCAGAAAATACCAGTTGTTCGTATTAGAAAACAAAGCGTCCATGATTGATGTAAAAACACTCCCGAGATCTAAAAAATGCGCTTGCATAACGGAAAACATCAGAAGAAACCGAAAGTTTGTGTCCAGGTATATAAAGACGATGTTAAGATCTACAATATCATTCGCCCATAAATCTTCGACCAGGAAACAGTTCACACTTTGAGAGACGACTTGTATATTTCTGCATCTATTACAGAAGATAATTATCACACGTTGGTGACCGAGGACTGAGCATATTGACAGAAGGTATGTGTACTGATAACATAAACCAACACAGGTAAACTGTCTCGCAGAAGCTGACAAAAAAAACAGACCTACTTTCATTTGGAAAACATCTTTATATAGAAAGAACAACATTCCGATATAAATTCGTGTTCTGGTGTTAACAAATATCTGCGATGAACAACATTTAGTTTACACGGGTTCATTATAAAAACCGTTTAGAAAACAGTTTCGATAAATGGCAAAGACATGACATGGAAAATCTGCAGCTGGCTTTCCTGCCCTTGCTTATTTCTAATAAAGTGCCCACAAACTATTTTTGCATGTTTAATTGTTAAATCGCTTATAATGTTTTTTTGTGAAATACAGTTCGCATACGTTTTCTTCACCGGGACTTTTCATAGCTTGATGCAGTCCTATGTGGTGACATTTTATTTACATTCAACTTAAATGAAGAAAGATACCAAATACAAACACGTATGCAAATATCTGCGCAAATGGTGTAATTAAATCCGGTCATTAAATTTACTTTCTATTAATTCTTTCCAGTTTCCTATAACAAACACCATGAAGGTAAAGACCCCCGAGCCGAGGCCAAGCAAGTCCGATAACAAGCGCGTGCAGCCCCGCAATAGGATCAAGTACACTGCTGGCCAGGTGAGTTTTATGCCTGGTGATTTTGTAATTACTTCGAATCAGGTGCAACAGAGTATACATAACTTTGGTATCTATACCATAATTTAGTCGGTAGAATCTCATAGGGGAAGGGATTGTACGGGCGCTTCTAGTGATTTTAGTTCGTTTAAAAAACACGTTTGTCAGCTGTACAGTCTGTTTATGGCTATTGTGACTTATGTTGACAGCTTCATCAGTTAGAGAGGGTCTTCATGTCCAGCCAGTACCCTGACAGCTGCACCCTGGAGGAGCTCTCAAACACCCTCAGTATCAACACGGAACGACTGTCGGTGAGTACACTTGCTATGAAACATACAGCAAATATAGTGTTTGATAACAGGAACACAGACCAAACCTAAATTATATGCTTTAATATGTTAGAAATGTAAGACCAGGAAGTACGAAAAGAGGTATTCGTTTCCATATTTCACAGGATATATTCGTTATGAGTATGAGCTGTACCACTTCAAGATTCACCCAATCCACAAGATCGGATACAAAAGGATACAAATGTTATTGTATGTTCACGAGTTGATATTTTTGCTTTTATTCAAATTTTCTTTTTCTTCTTTTCCTGTCAGATCTGGTTCCAAAACCGTCGGTCTAAGTTCAAGCGTCAGGCGAAGGGAAGTCACGTGAACTGGATGAGGCGACAGTTGTACCACCAGGGGTCGCAGTCGTCACATGACGTCAACAATCAGTCGGATAAATGTCACGTGTTGTCTCCACCAGTCCCCCACAACACATCACCAGAGGCACCCAAATCAAAGTAAGCAATAGTTCAATGGTTGTGCGATGTGAGCAGAGAGCTATGGCGAGCGCCTGGTTGCATTCTTGTGGCATTATTTCTAATAACCAAATGCTTTCAATATGAACACACTGTTTTTTTCTTTGGATTCAGGTTTCTGCCATGGTGTGGATTCTTATAAATGACCTCTCCGTTGACCATTTCAATGCTGGAAATACTGAAACATTGTTAACGCTGGCATATAATATATTATGGGTGCACTTGCCCAAGATGAAAATTTAAATGGACATACCACCAAATATAGTCAGACCAGTGTCACGAACTTACAAAAATGACGTCGTTGTTAGGCAAATTATTATTGTTATTTCCGAAAATTGCGGAATCTCGTCTTTGAGGAGAATACAACTCGTGTTATATATCTCACTACGAGGATAATGTTTGTGCTACGGTGTTCATAAGACATTGCTTTTGTTTCAGTTTGAACTATTATGGGATGAACTACCCAGCAGCTGTATCCGGTTGTGACAACAGTTACTTCATGACGTCACCCATGTTCCATCAGATGACAGCCTCCTACCCATCGCACAATGAGAGGATCGGTGCTTCCGGTTACACCCACAGTCCTTTGCTACTTCCGCATCTGAACGACATTTCGTATCCCCAGACGGCGTCCTATCCCCAGCAGAGCCCAACGTACTCAAGCCCTCCAACCCCTCTCAGTGAACACGACCACAGTGAGAGTTACCTCCCCTCCTACAGTTTCCCAGGACCCCAGCTGACCTTCACCCCTATTGCGTGAGGAGGGGCGTGTCGATAAGGACTGAAACCAGACTAGCTGAGACCTTGCTGGTGGGTTAACGAATTCTGGATTAACAGTGTAACGGGTTGTCGACGCTCAGAGGTTTCCTGGTCTGCGTGGACTGGGACATCTACCACTACATATGAAGAAGCGGTTAGAAACCTGTCGCTCTAGTGCTATGTTGTACATACAAACGATGGCATGATGTATAGTCATTGCCTTAATGTATATATTTATGTGGTAATACATTTCATGTGAAATTCAGTTCAGTGTGTTATTGTTTTTACTCACCAACGTCAAGATCTACTTGCATTCAACGTATGATTCGTTGCCTGATGCAGAGGACGGCCATTGACCCGGAAGTACGTCAAAGGTGCAATCTAAGCAATAGTAGTTGTATATTGCCACACTCAGCAATATTCGAGGTCAGTAAGTAACCGAACAACCGATCAGACAACCCAGTGGTCAACAGCATGAGCATCGATCTGCGTAATTGGGATACGTTAGCATGCATTAATCCGATGCCGTTCGTTGTCTCTTAGGACAAACATAGGTTGCTGAAGACCAGTTCTTACCTGGATCGACCCGCTTGGTTGACACATGTCATCGTATCCCAATTGAGAAGATCGATGTTCATGCTGTTGATCACTGTATTGTCTGGTCCCGACTCATTATTTAGAGACCGATTCCATATAACTGGAATATTGCTGAGTGCGGCATTAAACAACAACCAAACTAAATCTAACCTAGATCCTTGCCAGGTACATGCTCTCTTATTGCACCTCACCAATGCCAGTTTTGTTGTCTTTTATTCTAAAACGGGGGGCGGTGGGGTAGCCTAGTGGTTAAAGCGTTGGCTCGTCACGCCGAAGACCCGGGTTCGAATCCCCACATGGGTACATTGTGTGAAGCCCATTTCTGGTGTCCCCCGCCGTGATGTTGCTGGAATATTGCTAAAAGCGGCGTAAAACCAAACTCAGTCAGTCAGTCTAAAACGGCTGGGGATGGAACCTGCGACAACCCACTCCGGGCAGATATTATGTCCTTCTACCACGGAGACCAAAACAGGCATTGGTGATTCGGAAACTGTTCACACGGGACTGCGACCATTTTAGAGACGCTTCTATCAATTGGCATGCCCTCCTTATTCTCACTCGTATCATCAACTCCATCAAATCATACTTACTTTCGAAACAACTAACTCTGTGTAATGTAGAGGAGCCATTTATTCCTAGTAAGACAAAAAACGTAAAGGATGCAAGATTTTCTACTCTGTCTTGTTAAGGAAACATACATTAAAAGAAAAGCTTAAAAGTCAACTTTAATGGGAAAGGGATATCAACGTAGATATATCAGAACAACTCTGGAAGGTTTATAACTATGTACCCTTCAGATCAACTTGTAATACACAATTAAGATGGCTTCAATATAAAATTGTCCAAAGAATCATTACAACAAACAAGGATATATTAACTATAAACTGACACAATCTGCTTCTAGTACATTTTGTAATGTTACAATCGAATCAATTATCCACATATTTTGTGAGTGTGTACGTGAGAAACGTTGTGGCAACAACTGAAAGCCTTGATTGAACAAGATACAGGCACAAGATTAATTCTGGATGCAAAACATATCATCTTTGTATTAAATCTGATTATCATCGCAGCAAAATACTATATATATGGAAAGAGATATTCTTTGGAATTTGTTTGGTACTTCGTGTTGGGAGTGTCGAGCTCCTTATTATGATCCAATACTCGTGCTTCAAACAATTCAAAATTAACATTGAGGTGTTCTGTAATATAAAAACGTTGTTCACTGGTCCCTCGGGGACTATGGGTTGATGCACCCTCTATGTTTGTTTATGTCCCCCTCGTTACCAGTGAACAACTTATATTAGGACTTTGCAAATACAGGTATTTCGACATTCTAATATAATTTAACTGACTCCCTCCTTCAATGATCGGTGTCTGTACGCAATGCCAACTCATTTATGTATGTATTTTATTGCACCACTTCCACACAGTTGGGACATGAATCATCCCTACTAAATAGTTTATCTGAGATCCTCTAAACACAAATGTGTTTCCTCATCATACCACCTTTCCTAAGTTGATACTCTGCAACAGAAAAATGTTGCTGCTTTTTCCTACCCGTTGACAAAGGTATGCATGGTCAGCGGTCTGCGATCACGTTATCGCTGAAAAGTCGCCCACCCCTTCGCTCGTAGAGAAGCTTTGCTAGCTCGTAACTACTGCTACTACTGCTGCTACTACTATAACTCCTCGTACTACTACTACTACTGCTGCTACCACTATTACTACTACTACTACTCGTACTACTACTACTACTGCTGCTGCTACTACTATTCGCACTACTACTACTGCTGCTGCTACTACTACTACTCGTACTACTACTACTACTGTTGCTGCTACTACTACGTGTACTACTACTACTTCTCGTACTACTACTACTACTGATTCTACTGCAGCTGCTGCTACTACAACTACTACTGATACTACTACTACTCGTACTACTACTGCTGCTGCTGCTACTGCTATTCGTTGCTACTACTACTACAGCTGCTGCTGCTACTACTACTACTACTACTACTCACTGCTGCTACTACTACTACTCACTGCTACTACTACCGCTGCTACTACTACTACTGCTGCTGCTGCTGCTACTATTCGTGCTACTACTACTGCTGCTGCTACTACTCACTACTGCTGCTACTACTACTGCTGCTGCTGCTACTACTCACTACTACTACTACTCGTACCACTAACGCTGCTACTACTACTACTGCTACTGCTGCTGCTACTGCTACTCGTACCACTACTGCTGCTGCTGCAGTTGCTACTACTACTCGTACTACTACTACTACTACTGCTGCTACTACTAATCGTACTACTACTACTACTGCTGCTGCTACTACTACTCGTACTACTACTACTACTACTGCTGCTACTACTATTCGTACTACTACTACTACTGCTGCTGCTACTACTACTTGCTACTACTACTACTACTACTGCAGCCGCTGCTACTACTACTACTACTGATACTACTACTACTCGTGCTGCTGCTGCAGCCGCTGCGGCTGCTGCTACTACTGTACCACTACTACTACTGCTGCTGCTACTGCTATTCGTACTACTACTGCTACTGCTGCTGCTACTACCACTCGTACCACCACCACTACTACTACCTAGCTGCTGCTGCTACTACCACTACTAC